TTTTGTTCCTGTTCTTGTCCTAATTTGGATTTCTTTTTCTTTCTTTTTCATTACTTCTATTTCTTTCTCTCAGTTGCCATTAGTTTTATAGGAAAGTGAATACAGTTTCTAGCTACCCAACTGCTGTTAGTTTTTTCTGATCTTGTCTTTGTGCTTTCATTCTCTTTTCCCCTTGTCTTTAGCAGTTTCCCAAAGTTTGCCTGATCTCCCTGTGTCCACTGGCCTCACTTCTAACCATTCCCTATCCTCTACCTATCCCTCCCCTCCCCAACTCCTCCTAAGTCCTCATCTCAAAGTGTAAAGTTATTACACTGAAGAGTTTATTCACTATAAACATATTCAGGGCTGGTCCTTGATTTTGATTTAATTCACATAATTAAAGGTGACAGATTAATAGCTATCACAAATTGTCATTCTTTAAACTGTGCTCAATGCTATTGTTGCTGCTGATTGTTATCACTTGGGCTAAGGTGTTATGATTGATCTAATCAGTTGTTCTTCCTGGTATACGGAAAACCAGATTGCCTAAGAGTCATTAGAGACTCAAAACCTAAAGACCAGCTATATCTGGAAGACACCTCTGAGAAGCAATCATTCCATAATACAAGCAATACAGACACTTACAATAAGCAATATTGAAGTAACAACCCAGGAATTAAACCAAAAATAGTACCAACAACAAAAATAGAAATGAGAAGACACCTTGGCAAGGCACAAACCCAGACTTCCAGCTCATCAAATGCAAATTCTGGGAGAAACAAGATGGAAAAATCTGATAATCTACCACCTGGACACCCTGAACTGATAGCAAAGGAAGTAATAAAACAGATGAATGAGGCTCTAGAAAAATTCAAAGAAGAAATAATTTCCCAGATAACTACAGGTAGTGAGCATGAAAGACATGATTAGAGACTCTAGAACAGAAACAGATTAAAAAAAATAGATGAGCTAAACACCACGATGGAAGCCATGAATGCCCAACATAGCAAAGAAATAGAATCCATGAAACAGATTCTAACAGGTATCCAGGAGATTAAAAACTCCATTGAAAGTACTTGTAAAAGAATATCAGATATAGAAGACAGAATTTCAGTAAGTGACCATGAAAAAAAATCTCTTAAAAATAGTAAGGGATCATGAGAAATCGAGAAGAGAAAGAAATAATAATTATAAATATATATGCAGCAAATGCTAATACCCCCAACTACAAAAAACAAATATTAATGGACATGAAAAACCAAATAAGCACTAATACAATTGTACTGGTAAAAATCCCGCTGTCACAAATAGACAGGTCATCTAGACAAAAAAAATCAGTAATGAAATATTAGAATTGAACCAAGCTTTTGAACAAATGAACTTCAAAGATGTCTACAGAGTGTTCCACCCCAAAAAATCAGAATATACATGATTTTCGGCTGCACATGGGTCATTCTCCAAAACAGACCACATGCTAACCCACAGAACATGTTTAAGTAAATACAAAGGAACTGAAGTTTTACCCTGTATATTAATCAGACCATAGAGCAACTAAACTAGAGATCAACAGCATAAGAAACCACAAGCACTCCACAAACACATGGAAACTGAATAACACTCTCTTGAATAACCAATGGCTCACAGAGGAAATTAAAGAAGAAATTAGGCAGTTTTTACAAAAAAATTATAATGCCAATACAACATACAGGAATCTACCGGACACAATGAAAGCAGTTCTACAAGGGAAATAAATATTAGTGAATGCCAATAGTAGGAAAACAGAGCGAGCTCAAATACACAACCTAATGCTGAAACTCAAGCTCCTAGAAAAGGAAGGGCAAGAAAAACCCAAAGCTCACACAAGGGAGGAAATTATAACGATCAGAGCAGAAATCAATGCAATGAAGACTAAGAGAACGGCACACACACACAAAAAAAAAAAAAAAAAAAAAAAAAAAGCACAAACACCAAACACAAAAAAAAAAAAAAAAAAAAAAAATCAATGAATTGAAGAGATAGTTTTTGAAAGAATAAATAAAATTGAAAAAATCCTGAGTCAACCTTATCAAAAAAAGGAAAGACAAGATTCAAATCCATGCAATTAGCAACGAAAAAGGTGAAATCACAACAGATCCAGCAGAAATCCAGAGGATCATCAATACTTGCTTCAAGAACCTGTACTCTAATAAAATGGAAAAGAGCCGGGTGTGGTGGTGCACACCTGTAATCCCAGCACTCGGGAGGCTGAGGCAGGAGGATCACTGTGAGTTCGAGACCAGCCTGGGCTACATAGTAAGTTCCAGGTCAGTCTCAACTACATAGTGAGACCCTATCTCAAAAACAAAAAAACAAAACAAAAAATAAAATGGAAAAGAGAAGAAATGGACAGATTTCTAGATACACATGAATTACCAAAGTTGAACATAGAAGATATAAAAATTCTAAATACCCCAATTATAATCAGTGAAATTGAAAATGTAATTAAAAATTTACCAACAAAGAAAAGCCGAGGTCCCGATGGCTTCACTGCTGAATACTACAAGACATTTAGAGAAGAACTACTGCATTTACTCTTTAAATTCTTCAGTGAAACTGAAAGGGAAGCAATACTTTCAAATTCATTCCTGGAAGCAAGTGTTACTTTGATTCCAAAGGCAGAGAAAACCAAAAAAGAGAACTAGAGGCCAATCTCCCTAATGAACACAGATGCAAAAATCCTCAACAAGACACTGGCAAACAGAATACAGAGGGACTTCAAAAAGATTATATAACCTGACCAAAAATTATACAACCTGACCAAGTGGGACTCATCCCAGGGATACAAGGATTGTTCAACATACAAAAATCAGTAAATGTAAAACATTATATTAACAGAGCCAAGGTCAAAAACCACATGATCGTCTCAATAGATGCAGAAAAAGCATTTGACAAAATCCAACACCCATTCATGATAAAAACCCTATAGAAAGCTGGCAATAGATGGTTTTTATATCAGCCTGATAAAGGCTATATATGAAAAATGAACAGCCAATATCATACTAAATGGTCAAAAACTGAAAACCTTCACACTAAAATCAGGAACAACACAAGGATATCCACTATCACCACTCCTGTTCAACACAGTACTGGAAACATTAGCCACAGCAATTAAACAAGAGAAAGAAATAAAAGGAAGAAAGAAAAGGAAGAAGTTAAACTGTTATTATTTGCTGAAAATATGATACTGTACATAGAAGACTCCAAAAACCCTGCCAAAAGACTTCTAGACTTAATTGACAGGCTCAGTAGAATAACTGGATACAAGGTCAACACTCAAAAATCAACAGCCTTCTGGTACCCAAATAATAGACTCACTGAGAGAGAAAATAGGGAAACAATTCCTTTTATAATAGCATCCAAAAAAATGAAATACCTAGGAATCAAACTAAACAAGGAAGCAAAAGACCTCTACACTGAAAACTACAGCACTGAAGAAAGAGATTGGAGAGGATATAAGAAAATTGAAAGACATTCCTTGTTCCTGGGCAGAAAAAAACCAATATAGAAAAAATGGCCATACTTCCAAAACTGCTATATAGATTTAATGTAATCCCAATTGAAATCCCAACAGTGTATTTCATAGGACTAGAGAAAACAATCCAAAAATTCACTTGGAACCAGAAGAGACCCAGAATATCAAAAGCAATATTAGGCAACAGAGACATGATGGGGGGGTATCACAATCCCCAACTTGAAGCTGTACTACAAAGCCAATACAATAAAAACAGCATGGTACTGGCAAAGAAACACACATAAGATCAGTGGAATAGATTAGAAGATACAGAAACGACTTCAGACATACTCAGCCACCTCTCATCTTTGACAAAGAAGCCAACCATCCTCACTGGAGGAAAGCCTCTTTAATAAAAGCTGTTGGAAAAACTGGATTTCAACCTGCCAAAGATTAAAACTAGATCCTTATCTTTCACCATACACTGAACTATAATCCAAGTGGATTAAAGATCTAAATATTGAAACAGAAACACTAACTGGAAAATAAATTAGGTAGAACTCTTGAAGACAATGGCATAGGAAAAAACTTTATGTACAAATCCTTAGTAGCACAGGAACTAGCACAAAGAATCAACAACTGGGATCTCATCTCATTAAAAAGCTTCTGCACTGAAAGAGCAACCACCAACAGAGCTAAAGGACAATCTATGATGTGGGAAAAAGTCTCATCACCTGCTCCTCAGACAAAGGGCTACTATCCAGAATATATAAAAAACTCAAAAAAATAAGCCCCCCCATATACAAAGACCCAATTCAAAAAATGGGTATCTGAAATTAACAGACATTACTTAGACAAAGAAGTAAAAGCATCAAATAAATACATGAAAAAATGTTCGACATCACTGGTCATTAGAGAGATGCAGATGAAAACAACACTGAGATTCCATCTTACCCCAGAAAGAAAGAAATCAACTAACAAGAAATGCTGGCAGGGTTGTGTGGAGAAAGGAATGCTTCTCCATTGTTAGTGCAGATGAAAACAACACTGAGATTCCATCTTACCCCAGAAAGAATGGCTACTATCAAGAAATCAACTAACAAGAAATGCTGGCAGGGTTGTGTGGAGAAAGGAATGCTTCTCCATTGTTGGTGGGAGTGCAGTGGGTCTCAACTACTGAGCTGCTTATATTCCTACCTTGACATAAAACAGAAATACAATGTTCCAAAAAAAGAGAAAATATTTGTCAAGGGCTTCTATTAGAAATAAAGATAGAGGTAATTCATGAAATCTTTTTCACTTTTGTTTAAAAATAAGCATCCACAAAAATAATTCCCAGAGTGCTGGAATTAGAGGCATGCACCACCATGCCCAGCTAAAACTACTTTTTGTAGAAAATTATAAATATAAGTATAAATATTCCTACTTCTTTAAAATATAACAATTTTCTTTGCTATGAAAACTAGGAATAGTCCAGAACAGGCCAGCATTCCTTTCCACAAATGACGACAGCTGATTGTAACCATCTCACCTTATGGGCAGCGAAGCTCAACTCATCTCTTTCCAGTGCTCTCTTTGCGTACTCAAGGGCTTCGTACACAAGAAGCTTCTTCTCCTCCTCTGAAGTCCTGCTGAGCTGCGCTCTATCATGAGACGCCCGTGCCAAACGCCACAGTAATTGTGCATCTTCGCTAATTTGAAATAAAACATAAAATCACCATTTACACTCACATTTAGAAACTGTTAAAGTTCACATCACTATACAAGCACTCAGAAGGCTGGGGCAAGAGGACCACCAGGTGTGGATACACAGTAAGTTCAAGGGAAGTTAGGAATAGTATATTTATAATTCAATATATATAAGCTAACTATCTTAGAGCTTACTTTTCAAGTTATCACTAAAACAAAAATGCCAAAACAACCACCTCAGACTCCTGAAGGTGGAATGGAGAAGAAAATCTTGATCCTATAGATACTTAAGGAGTAAAACTGATGAATCTCGAGGAGAAAGCTGGTTTGGGGAATCAAAGAAAGGTGAAAATGACAGAATTTTTAGTTTAGATTAGTCACCTGCATTAGTAAATTACACGAAATTCCATTTAGTCTCATTTGACTTAAAAGGTTAAGCCTTCCTCTATCTATACCCTCCAAAGAAATGAACACACCAGATGCTCTACACTAAACATGTAGTTTTTCTGAAAAACTGTACGTCTAAATAGTTACCTTTCATTGGTGACAATTACCCCAAATTCTGATGAATTTATTTAAATCATGTATGAACCAATAAGGAATTAACAGAAAAAAAAGAGAAATACAAAATATACAAGATGTGAACAAAATATACAGTGAATGTTACAGTAAAGGACACTTTGTCATTACCTCCTCTTAAAATACTCCCCTCACTTATCCCATCATTCCTCCACCTTAACATTTCTGGAAGTTCTCTTTCCTGCCTTTACAAGGTATAATCAAAAGTACAGTGACTGCTACATGCCATCCAACAGAAAGGCAGGCTTGGATACCTTATGGTCTTGTCCTCATCTATTTTATTCACAGGATCTGGTACTCTGTGACTTCTAGCTCTTCAGCAAAATCAAACTGAACACGAAAGAAACATTTTGAATGGATTCAAGACATCAAAGAAGTGAAGACATTGAGGCAGCAATGACAACACAACTAAAGCCTCAAAAGAGGACTTCTGGAAAGCGCAAGAATGAGGAATAAGCATGTTTGAAGTCAGGGGTAGTATTTTGAGGGATTAATGGCAATGCATCCTTTATTGTAATAAATTTTTTCAATTTACATATTCACTGTATTTGTTAATTACACACTATAGATAGCTGAGGTAAATATATATTCCAAAGCAAAATGGAAAATTTTAAGGAAACCTAAGGCCAGGCCTCTCATACATTGCCTACCTTTCCTTGTACTGAGTTAGCAATTCATAAAGTTTTTCTGTTTCTCCACTTTCATACAGGTAGTCTGCTTGTTCAAGGATCTCTTCAACTTTTAAAATTATAAAAGAAAAAAGATATAAGTAGGTCTTTCTAAATAAGATGGCAATAATTTTAGGAAATATAAACACTTTTGTATAAAAGCTAGCAAAATCAGACATAAAAAATACCTTATAAGAAAAGAAAAAAGTTCTGAAGAATCTAGATGAAATATGGCAGAAATAAATATGAAATTATTTTAATAAATGATTTACTGAAGCTATGGAAAGTAAAATTTGAAAATTCACTGTGATAGTATGATAGGTAGATTTTTTTTTAATGAAAAAAAATTTCATTTGGAAGAATTTATGGCACATATCCCTACTGTATCATCCATTGAAGAAAAGGATCAAACTCATCCACTTGTAGCACTGAGTATTATTAATTTACATAGACTGAACCATACAATTTTACTAAATTCTCTTATAAGCTAATTTATACTTATACATTATTAGGGAAAAATATTCAAATCTGTTATCAAAAACTTAGATGAAGTTAAATACACAAAGAATCTGAAACTTACCACCTTGGCACTGTGTTCCAACCAATGTTTATATCTGCTTTATATGTGACCATAAAATAAATAAGCCTTATTGATAGTGTAATGCTGTAAAAGACTTCCTACTTAATGATCAAAGAGTAAATTTGAAATTTAGTAAATTCCAACTATTACTGTAATGATTTGGATCTTACGGTCTTAAAATAGGAAATTATCTTGGATTATCCAGGATGGCCCAATATAATTACAAGGGTCCTTAAAAGTGGAAGAGGAAGGCAGAAGAACCAGAGAGGGAGATCTGATAATGGAAACAAAATCAGAATGAGATTATTGGCCTTGAACATGAAAGAAAGAATGGATAGCACTAGTAAAAGCTGAAAAGGGAAGATGATTCTCGTCTAGGGCCTCTGGAAAGTAGTAACACAGCCCTTTCCAACACCTTGACTTTAACTTTTGAACTACAGAAAGAGTAGATTTAAAAAATCTGCATTAAATCACTGCAAACTAAAAAAAACCTAATTTAACAGTATTAAATATACCAGCTGGGCATATATGAAAGTGCACATAGTGTATATAAGTAGCAGTTACTTTTATTCATTAATTATTCTCCAACTCCCTGAAAAGTGATAACTACATTTAACAGGAATTCTACATTTCTTCATCCATGTGACCTTTAAAACATACAGAAATTTAGTGAATAAGTTAAATATTTTTGTATGTATTCTTCTATGACTTCTCAAATCACTTAGCTCCAATATCTTTATTCACAGTATATTAAATAAGTTGTACTATCTGGGCTTTAAAATATATAATATGAAAAAATAAATAAATAAAATATATAATATGCATTATAGTGTATTTATATATTGTATAATTTAGAATGTTTCTGTATATGAAGATATTGACTTGTTTCATTTAAAGTAAAATTAGATTTTATCATCTCCAAATATATTCTGTAATTTAAAAAAATAAAGCATTTCTGAAGATAAATTAAAACAAATATTTAAATTTAGGGTTAAAAAACCTAATTACAAAGTATATATCATTTTCTTAAAAAAAAAAACAAAACAAATTTGCAGTCTACATTGTTCTAATATAGAATTATTTTATGCTGCAGAGGAAGCTACAACATTTCTTTGCAGCATATAAGTGAACATAGATACAAACCAGTCAGAATGAGGAGAATTAGCATATGCTTCATAATATGATAATTTCCATCTACAATAAATATCATCATATATATTTTTTGGAGCAAATAACAACCACAAAGTGAGTACTATTACATCAGAGGTACTATAAACACCTTAATGCAAAGCAGTTCTCAATTATGTTTAAAAAAAAAAAGAAAAGAAAATCAACAGGCAAGTAGTCATTTGTAGGTCATGTTATCAAATTATTTTTCCATAAGAACTTTAAAAGAACATCTTTTCAAAATCAAATGTTTTCCCCAATCCCATTCTCCTTTATGATTAAAAAATGAGGACAATCTGCCCCTTAATCCCAAAGTGCCAGAGGAGACCAGAAGCAGCTCTCAACCCCCTGGCAGGCCTGCCCCTCCGACCGAGTGCACCAAACAAGCCCAGCCACACAGGCACCAACATGGCAATATTCGTGCATGTGTGCGCATGTGTCTCACAAACAAAACAAAGAGGTCCACTCTGAGGCTCCTAGATGAAAACTGAAGCCCACTGGAAAAGTGAAGAAAACCTATAAAGACACACCACACCTCCATAGTTGGTAAGTCGGAGGGGCCAGCACCTCACATCAGAACCTGGTCTAATTTCAGGGAAAAGACAGCTGGAACCTACTGTACAAGCTTGCAAAGTTCAACCCAACAAGAGGTCAGAGATCTCAACTTGGTCCTGGCAGCCAGAAATCAGCCTGAACCTCAGGGGATAGTTGCTGGCTTGCTGAGACTAATTAACTTAGACCTGCACACTCCTGCCCACGCTATCTATTGTGTCAACAGAGGCATACCCTGAAGGAGGCCCTCTATTACTATTTGTATGTTTTATTTTCAAAGTAATATTTTTCTCTTATCTTTAATCATTTAAAACATTTTTATCCATATTTTTCTTTTCTCAATTATTTTTCCTTATCTTCTTTTTATCTTTTCTCTCTCACTCTCTCTCCCACCTTGATCTTCATTACTCTCCCTTTTTGTTCCTGTTCCTATCCTACTTCGAATTGATTTTCTTTTCCCTTTAGTCTTTTTCCTTCTCTCAATTGCCATTAGTTTTAAAAGAAAGTGATTACAGTCTCTAGCCTCCCTATTACTGTTAGTTTGTTATGTTCTTGTGTGTACTTTGTTCTGTCTTCTCTTCTCAACAGCTTCCTAGAGTTTGTGTGATCTTCCTGTGTCCTCTAACCTCACTTGTAACCTTTCTCTATCCTATCTATCCCGCCCTCCCCAATTCCTTCTAAATCCCCATCCTGAAGGGTAAAGTTGCCATCCTGAAGAGATTATTCACTATAAATATATTTTGGATTGGTCCTCTATTTTGATTTCATTCACATGGTTAAAGGTGATAGATTAATAACTACCACAAACTGTCATTTTCTAAGTTGTGCTTGATGCTACTGTGTTGCTGATTGTATCACTTGGGCTAAAGTGTTGTGATTAATCTAATCAGTTGTCCTCCCTGGTATAATGAAAATGAGATTACCTCAGAGTCATTGGAGACTCAAAACCTAAAGACCAGCTATATTTGGAAGATTGAAGTATTAAATCAGAAGAAAAGGAGGACAGTACCAACAATAAAAATTGAAATGAGAAGATAATTAAACAAAACACAAACACAGACTTCCACCTCATCAAAGGTAAACTCTGGGGGAAATGAGGTGGAAAAGTCTGACAGTCAACCATCTATATAGATACCCTGAACTGTTAGCACAGTAAGCAACAAAACAGATCAATGAGGCTCTAGAAAAATTCAAAACAGAAATAATTTCCCAGATAACTACAGAGATGCTGAGCACAACAAAACACATGACTAGAGATTCTAGAACAGACAATGGCAAAAAAATTGAGCTCAGAACCACGATAAAAGCCATGAGTGGCCAGAACAGCAAAGAACTGGAAAACTATGAATGCCCAACATAGGACAGAAATGGAATCCGTGAAACAGATTCAAACAGAGATCCAGGAAATTAAAAACTCTATAGAAAGCATTTGCAGCAGAATGAACGAATGTGAAGGTAGAATTTCAGATATAGAAGATAGTATTGCAGTCAGTGACCATGAAAAGAGAGATCTCTTAAAAATAGTAAGGGATCATGAGATATCAGTCCAACAACTGTTAGATGATACAAAGAAGAAGAATATAAAACTGATAAGAATCCATGAAGTAGCAGGGGAAAGTACAAATAACATAAAAAAAGCTGTTCACAGAATTCATGACAGAAAACTTCCCACACAGAGGGGAAGAATCTGACATACAGATAAGTGAGGCATATAGGACTCCAACTAGCCATGATCAAAAAAAATCTACACCAGCATATCATAATAATTAAAATCCCGGAAACCCAACAGAAGAGCAAAATACTACAAACAGTTAGAGAAAAGAAACTAATCACATGCAAAGGAAAGCCTATCAGAATCTCAGCAGACTTTTCAACAGAAACACTCAAGTCAAAGAGAGCCTGGAGTGAGGCATTTCAAGTCTTAAAAGAAAACAACCTCCAACCTAGACTGATGTTTCCTGAAAAACTACTTTTCAGATAGGGAAATAAGATACTTTTACAACAAAGAACACATGAGAAATTTCATGAACACCAAACTGGCACTCCAAACACTTCTAAACAATATCCTGGAAAAAGACAATGAAAGCCACAACTCCATCAGGGCCAACAGAGCAGCAAATATACCAGGCAAGGCAAGAAATTAAAGGGAGAGAGGGAAAAATAAAAAAATAAAAGAACCAACAACAGGAAAATAACATGACAATGAAAAGCCAATACATAACAGTTATAACCATCAATGTTAATGGCCTCAATTCACCAATCAAAAGAAATAGGCTGGCAGAATGGATTAAGAAGAAAATCCAACAATATGCTATATAGAAGAAACACACTTAATCCACAAGGAAATTCATAGACTGAGAGTAAAGTATGAAAAACATTTATCCACGCAACAGGAGCCCAGAAAAAAGTGGGGTCAGATACCTCAAAGAACTAGGTTTAGAGGTCCCATTTTATCCAGCTATCCCTCTGCTGGGTATCTTTCCAAAAAAATTAAGACTCATACCACAGTGATATATGTGCACCCATATTTACAGAGGCATAGTTTGTAATCACTAAAACTTGGAAACAATCCAAATGCGCATCAACTAGAAACTGGATAAAGAAGATGTGATTTTTCTATAAAATGGAGTACTATTCAACCATAAAGAATGAGAAACTAGCGACATTTATAGCTAAATGGAGGCACACTGAAGCTATACTCTTCAGTGAAATAAATAGGACACACTTGAGTAAATACCGAATAGTTTCTCAGGTATGAAAAACTGAAAGTATAAACAAGGTTCAAATGGTATAACTGATAGTGTGAAATAGAAGAAAATGGCTAAAGGGGAGGGGAAAGGAAATAAGGGAAAAGAAAAAAATGTGAAAAAAGAATAAATGGAAACAAAGTCTTTGTAAATAGGAAAGGGTGAAATGGGTGAAGGGAGGGCAGGGGTATGGGGGAAAAATAAAAACTAAAATGAAAACAATGAAAAACACAAGGGATTAATCCTTTAATTAAAACTTCCACTGAAATTCTGGCTCTTTCTACACTACTAGTTTAACCAATTTTATTTTTAAAAATTTGGTAAATCTTAATGTATGTTTACTTATCATTATTATGCCAAATATATGTATGATGGAATTTTTCTACTTTTCAACCAGTTATCTAATATTTGGTGCCAAATTCCATTTTATTTGTAAATAAATACTCATATCTCAACATAGAAGGGCCTTTTCTTAACTATATCAAGAGAAGTACAGCACCTTGGAATTAGAAAAGCATATAAAAGAAATCACTAGAGCGCCGGGGATTTAGCTCAGTGGTTTGGTGGCCTGCCTTGCAAGCGCAAGAACCCGAGTTCAAGCCCCAGTACCACAAAAAAAAAAAAAAGAAATCACTAGAAAGCAGTGGTTGACAAACTTTTGTATAAAGGTCCAAAGAATTCATGCTTTGTAGGTCACACATTGTCTCCATGATTTATTCTTTCCCAGCACCCTGACAACATTAAAAATGCAAAGAAAATCAGCTCAAGGGTTGAACAAAAAATATAAACTATTAATACAGTATGACTGAAGGAGATCTAGTTTCTAGAGAAAAATTAAATATACATATAGGGTGGAAAGTAAAGAGCAGAAAATAACCTATACAATGTCAGTTTCATTATCTATTCAAAAATAAAAGTAATTAAGTCTTCCAGATGTTTAACTTACACTTACCTTTGGCTGTGGCATGAACTACAGCAGCCTGAGAAATGACTTGGTAAGTTTCAAAACCCAAATAAGACAAGGTTGAGAATAAAAGGCCTCCTTTGAAAGTTCCTGGGTTTCCTATCACCTATGGAAAATAATATGGGCAGTTATCAAATTTGGAAAATTTGAAGATTACTACTCCAAGCAAAAATTATACCACTTTCTCCCACATTCACAGCTATTAATCACAAAAATACTAGAAATTCAAAAATTACTTCAAGAAATTCACCAGTAAAATTATTTCAAACCTTGTGGGGATACTGTATCTCATAGAAAAGACACCATCTAGAAGTGGTAGCTCATTTAACATGAAAAATATCTTATCAATAGATAAGACAAAGTACTTCAGCAAATACAGTAATTACTACACATAAAACATGTTCATGACTTTAAGTGGTGACATCTTGAAAGCCATCCATGGGCTTCAGTTAAATAAATGTGAATGAAGATCATATTCGAACAGATTTGGAAATTTAATTTTTATAATCATGGCCAGATTCTTGAGATCAATGATAAGACTGACACTCCAGCAGCAATTCTTCCCCCTTTCCCTCTACTTTTCTCTTTTAACACAGCATGTTTCCTTTTAGTCCCATCACATAAAAAACAAGCTCTATTTCCTTCTTAACCAAAACCTTCCTCTTGATTTCACATGTTCTGTAATTTTATTCTTTTTGTTTGTTTGTTTTGTTGTTGTTGCTGTTTTGAGACAGGGTCTCACTATGTAATTGAGACTGACCTGGAACTCACTATGCAGCCCAGGCTGGTCTTGAACTCACAGTGATCCTCCTGCCTCAGCCTCCCGAGTGCTGGGATTACAGGAGTGAGCTACCACGCCCGGCTTTGTAATTTTATTCTTAATTCTCAACAAATTTCTTTAAAGTTTTCTGTACTATTTCTTCCTCTCTTCTTCCCATTCTCTCTGAAATCCACATAAATAACTCTATGAGCCTCACAACTTCAATGACAGTATTCTAGTTAATGACACCAAGGATGCTGCTACAGGTTGAGTATCTCTTATTCTAATGCTTTGGACTAAAAAGGTTTCAGATGTTTGTGGAATATTTGCACAAATAAAATGAGATACTTTGTAGGTGGGACCTAAGGCTGAACAGGAAATACATTTCTGTTTCATATATGCTTTATACATACAGCCTGCAGGTAATTTATTTTATTTTATTTTATTTTAATTTTTTTTGTACTGGGAATTGAACTGGAGCCCTTGTGCTTGCAAGGCAGGCGCCGGAACCACTGAGCTAAATCTCCAGCCCCTGCAGGTAATTTTATACAATATTTTTAGTGTGCCTGTTTTGACTGTGACCTGTCACGAGGTCAGGCTTAGAATGTTCCACTTACGGTGCTCAGTAAATTTCAGATTTTAAAGTATGCTGGATTTCAATCTTTCAGACTAAGAATGCTTACTACTCACCCTATATTTCCTGTGGTCAATTTTGAATTCTCATCTTATTTGACCTACCAGAAGTATTTGACAGCTGATCATTTTTTCCTTAAAAATCATGAGTGGATGTTTAATTTTTAAAAGCAGCTTTATTAAGATACAGTTTACATACAATAAACTGCACATGAATAGTATCTAGTTTAAGACATATGTTTAAACATCATTAAAATCATAACAAAAATAAATATATGCATCAAATCCAAGGTTTTCTCCATCAGTGTTCCAGTGTAAGTGGCACGGCAAAATTTAACTTTGAAAGTTAGGATTTTTTTCTCTTAGAGCTAAGTGGCTTCTCCAAACTTCCTCCTGTCAAAGGTAAAACCAACACTCCCCTCTCCTAAACCCCAAAACCATGACAGAATATGCAAGATACAGGAAGGTAGGGACTACTTTCCTTCCCACAGGAAAGAGAGAAATCAAGTTGAAGATGATAGAAATCAATAAAACAAGATTGGAGAGGTATATTGTCTCTTTCTACTCCCCCTCCTGTCTTCTACAAGACACCTGCACATCTGTACAGGGTAAGATAGTGATCTGAGGCAAATGAGGCCCCTACATCTCCTTGGAGATGGCTTTTAGTAAATTCTCCTTTTCACCAAAATAAATGGCTTCCTTTGACTTGGTCACTGGCACAGAGAGGAACTTCAGTAACACCAATAATTAACTATATTGTCACTCCTAAAACCCTTCAGTTTGCTTTTGAAATAACAACTCTCCTGGATTTCCTCCTGCCTCAATGACTGTTCCTCTCCTTAGCTCATCTCCAATCCATGGCCCACATGTGTCCTGAGCTTAGGCTTCTTTTCTATTTGTGATCTCATTTCATTCATGGTCTTAAATACTATCAGCAAGCCCAAAGCACAGCATCTATATCCTGGATATCGCCTCTAAACTTCAGAATCATATATCCAACCTCTAATCTTTACATTAACTCTCTTAGGCATCTCAAAACAAGTGGTCCTGCTGGTCATGGTGGCTCATGCCTGTGATCCCAGTATTCAGGAGGCTGAGGAAGGAGGACTGTCACAAGTTCAAGGTCAGCCTGGGCTACACAGTGAGTTCAAAGCCAGTCTGAACTACAAAGCAAGACACTGTCCAATGATGAATGTAACTGTACTGTATACCTAAAATGTACCAAAAAACTCAATGAGGAAAAAAAAAAAGCAAGACACCGTCTCAAAAAAAACAAAACAAAACAGACTCAGGACTCTGTGACACCTCCAAAATACTAATAATTTGCAAAAATGTCTGAGGTACCTTGCATATATGCTGGATTTATCATAACCCTTCCAAGAAGCAGAATACAACAGAGGTTATATCATTTCCAAGATTATTTAATGAAACAAAAAAACCTTTGAAGCTTACTTTCTGGTCTCCACGTGCCTGCCCTAGTGGACACCAGGGGCTATTTCTTGCCAGCATCAGCACCCAGTGGAGAAAGTCTGCCTATTGCCATGTGGGGGGTTCTGAGCAGCTGACAGCTTGACTTAATCTCCTATGAGAGTTCAGCTAAGAGGCTCTAAGCTAAATCATCCCTGAATTCCTGACCAACAGAAACCACAAGATAATAATTGTCTGTTTTAAATGGGCAGTTTAAAAGGGATTTTAGAGTTTAAAATAATGAAACAGTTCAAGTGAAGCACAGCATATGCACCAATGCCATTCCTGCCCCTCCAAGACCTTTTCAGGAAACAGTAGCCCATGACCAGTACAACAGAAATGTCAGATCTGAGACTACAATCCAGTATCTTGACACTCTTCCTTAATACTATGAGATAAAACGAGCAACTCAGAAATAATGCAAAAATAATGGATGTTGGGAAATGGGAAGAAAGTGTTCAAATGGGAAGGGGAACAAGGGAGGAGGGTAGGAGAAAGGAATGAAGGGATAAGAACAAAAATAAAAATATAAAGAAAAAATGGGGGGCTTTGTACGTAGGGAAGATAGGGGCTTGAGTGGGAGGGGACGGGATAAAAAAATTTTAAAGAAATAATTACAAAAGCAAATAGCACAAAATCTTCCTGAGTCACAGAAATTTTCAGTCACACTATCAACTTAAGTCTAGCAGCCTAAGGTAACAGCCTCACGAGCTGCAACCATATCTGGCATCGCTGAAAGTGAGATTTCATAGCGGTCAAAGGTCCTTCTCCTTCCTCTTCACACAGGAAGGCAGACAGGAGGCTGCTCCTGGAGCAGACATACTCGCTCCTCCTCTAACCAAAGCTCTCCAGTCCCTCGCGTCCCTTGGAGCGCTCCAGGCACCCCGTGGCCCCGAGACCCTCGCGGGTTCACACTGCCACCCAGAGCTGGCGCGGGCTGCAAAACTACCCCACTCGCCAGGGAGGGAGCGCGGCCAGGACGGCGAGGTTACCTCTGAGCAGCTGAGTGGCCGGAGGCCGCACTGCCTAAGACCGCCCGGAGTCCTCGGGGGGAATCGAGGCCCAGGAGCCCCACGTCCCAAGCAAAGAAAGCGCCACAGTCGCGAGGCCAGCGCCATGACTTCCACTCGTATGCGTGACCCTCAGGCCCACAGCCTGCTAGGGAGAGAGGCGGAGTGAAAAGAAAGCGTCACCCTGAACAACAGCACACCGTCTTCCTCCTTCCTGGCCAGGGTTTCTCCCTCCCCCAAAACTTCCTCCACGGCTTCCGGGTGTGGAAAATACCCGGATTGGCATTCCGGGACCTTCTGCGCCTGCGCCCAGTGGTGGGGCGCCGTGAAGGAGCGGAGCTTAGCGGCTGTCGGCTGTCTGATTTGGGTCCCACTTCACTGGTATATTTTATTGGTTAGAGTAGATTACTAGAAGAGAATTGAAGAACATGTGTATAAAAGAAAAAGAAAGTGATTTGTTTTCTATAATTCTCCTGTGTCTTATAAAATAGGATGAATGTTGGCACTAGAGGGGAGTCCTTTTTTTGGAAATAAATTCTTGGAAATATTAAATTGCCCCACTTAAGAGAAAAGAAGAGATTAAGAAGCTGGAGATTTAAAAAGTAAGAGAAAATAGAGAAGAGGAACAACGTGGGCAAAATACTAACTGGTCTTAGTTTTAAAAAAAAAGACTAGGGAAAGCAGGGCACCTAACTAGGGGCTCATCCTGGGCTAAGGATGCAGTTCAGTGGTAGAGACATTCCCGGTACATGCATTGTCTGGCCAACATGGCCAGGAGGAAAGCTACGGGTAGCTCAGGTGTATGATTTGGAGTGTGTAGTTTTTGGAGTGAATGACAACTTTTAAATTTATTTCAGAGCTTATGTAGGTGAAAATACACACAGCAAAATAAAATATCTACTACAAGGATTCCATGAAAAACTTATATGGGCAAAAAGGGAAAGTAGTAATGTTTTTAAAAATTATGTCGTATTATGTATATAGTACTATTATATATATAGTACTACTTTTAGTACTATAGAGGGATTTACTACACTTTAATTTCATTTTATCTTTCATTTATCCTCCAAACTACCTTGTGAAGTAACTGATGTACCAAATTTAGCAATGAGAAAACTGTAGTCAAAAGATTTTGTTAACTAAACCGAGGACGCAGCTGAGTTTTCTTTTGAGAAAGGGTCTCGATCTGTAATTCAGGCTGCTCTTGAACTCACTATAGAGCCCAGGCTGGCCTCGAACTCAGCAATCTTTCTGCCTCAGCCTCCTTAGCGCTAGCATTACAGGTGTGCCCCACCATGCCCAGTTTAGATTTCTCTTAGAAAACTGGAAAGCATCATACCTTCTAAATCCAAGTATGTTTGTTGTTCTTTCTACTTAGGATAGCTGCTTCCACCTCATCAATGGTGTTCCTGCTTTTTGTTTTGTTTTGCTTGTTTGCCTTTTTTCTCCAGTACTGGGAACTAAACCCAAGGCCTTTGCACTAAGCTATACCCCTCAACCTTTTTATCCTATTTAAAAATTTTAAATTTTGAAATAGAGTCTTGTTAAGTTGCCCAGGCAGAACTCTTAACTCTTGATCCTCCTGCCTCAACCTCCCAAATGCTGGGATTGCACATGTCTCACCACATCTGGCTGTTTTGTTTCTGCAGTATATTTTTGAAAATGTATAGATCTCCTTCCCAACTTCTTCTGAACCTTAGCCTTTTCCTTCACTCATTCTAGGGAACTTTTAATTAAAATTTCATTTTAAAAGACATTTTAAATCCTTAGAAAAGTCATAAGAACTCCTATAAACTTTTCACCTAGATTCAGCCATTGTTAATTTTCTCTTTTGCTTTATCTTTCATTATATGTATTTCATATACTGTTCGTATTATGTTTCTATTGTTATAATTTTGCAGAAAGATAGGCAAAGTTTACTGTTATGCAGATATAGAAAAAAGTATGCCTTCAAGCAAGAAGTTGGGCAGAGCCAAGTAGACATCTGGTTATTTGTTTTGAGTACAGATTACAAGAATGATGACTCTTCACTCTCAGAAACAAAGACATTCTCTTAGTCTCAGTATAATTATTAAATTCAAGAAACTGAAGTTTACAGAATTCCATATACGAATGCTATTGATTTACCAGTGTCATCTTTTATACCAATTTTTTCCCAATCTGAGATCAAATGTGGATTATATGTTGCATTTAATTGTCACGTTTCTTTAAATCCATAACGGTTCCTCAGTCTTTGTCTTTTCTCACATCAATATTTTTTAAATGAGGTCTCCTTGGTTTACAGCAGAATTTCTCAGCTTTGGCATTACTGACATTTGGAGCTGGATAATTCTTTTTTTTGTGGGAGGATAACCAGTGCATTGTATGATATTTGATAATGCCCCTAATTTCTACCCAGTAAATACCAGTTGTGCTTCCACTGAGTGTAATAGCAAAAGATACCTCCAGACATAGCAAATTGTCCTAAGTGTAGAATTACCGGATTTAGCAAAAATAAACACAGGACCCCTGCAAAATTTTAATTTCAGATAAACAGTTTTGTGTTTGTGTGGTACCAGAGATTGAACCCAGGGCCTTGCACATGCTAGGCAGATAATCTCCCACTGAGCTACATCCCCAACCCCCACACATAATTTTTAGTATATTCCAAGGAACAAAGTTATATTGAAAATGGATTTGTTGTTTCATTGAAGTTCACATTAACTGGACATCTTATATTTAGTCTGGCAACCCTTCTTGGTTTCCTGTGGTTGAGAATAATTAGTTTTCAGCGTTCCTCAATTTGAGTTTGGCTGGTTATCCTTATGATTTTTATGATTCAATTTAGCCCATGCTTTCTTGGCAGGAACATTAAGTAATGTACCTTCTGCATGGCTCCACATAATAAGGCTTCTGATGTGATTTTGCCTCATAATTTGGAAATAAGATTTTTGTTTTTGGTTTTTGTTGCTACGGGGGTTAAACCTATGGCCTTGCACATTCTAAGCACAAATTCTACACTAAGACACAAACCCTGAAATCAGATTTTGTTTGTTTCTTTCTTTGAGACTGCCTCATCATATAATTCAAGGTGCCCTCGAACTAAAAAATCCCAAGTACTGGAATTACAGGCATTCACTAACATGTGTGGCAAAATGGGATCTGTTTTTAAAACTAAAAGGAAAATTCAGGTACATTTCAATAGAGTGCTTGCCTTGCATAGGTGAAGCCCTAAGGTACTTCAAGAAAAAAAGATAGATTAGAGTACTAGTCCCCCGCTGTAAATCCTTTCAGGCATGTTGTCCTATACTTTTCTCACAAAATCTACATTGTTACCTTGTCCCTGTCTCTATAACCTTATTTCTAAAGTGTGCATATTTTCTGTCTGTTTCTCTATCCCTGTGTCTGTCCCTCCTCTTCTCTCTCCCTAATAGGTATCAGCCACTCTATCATTTCTTTCCTCCATGGAGACTCAGCCCTCCCGACGTGATATTCTCTTTATTAGAAATCCTTTGAATTCCACTACCTGATGCCCCACATTCCTTACCTAATGTCTGTTTAGTCTCAGTTTATCTGATGTCTATTCTCAGTTCAAATGCCTCTACCTCGGAGAAACTTCTCTTAATTCCTCCAAATGTACTTTTATTTCCTTTATGGCCTTGAGCACATTTTATTATTTCATTTGCACTTTTGTGATTGTTAATCTGTAGTATATTTTGGTGGTACAGTTGATAAAAATGTGTAATGTGCACCTTCATTATAATGTAAAAGGAAAGACCATGTCTGACTTTTCGCTTATAACAAGGCCTTGGAAAATTTCCCCATTCATTCACAAATATGTATTGTGTACTGTTTTTCTGTAATTTCTGCTAGATGCAGTAGACAAAGCAATTCCTAGAGGAATAGTCTATGCTTCAGTCAAGGAAATATAGTAAACAAGATAAATAATAAAAAACGTAATATGTTAGATGATGATAAATGCTAATGAGAAAGATTAAAATAGGAAGGGACATGCAGTGCATTTCCGTGGAGGCATTACAATTTTATTTTACTTTTCTGTTGTCTGTTTATTTGCCATGCTGGAGATTCATGAATGCTAGAGAAGTGAGCCACAAACATATTCAGAGACCAAGCATTTCACAGAGGAAAAGAAAGTGCAAGGGGAGAGCCTGCTGTGGAATGATGGTGAACAGTAAGTCTACCATATTTGGACAGAGTAAGCAAGGAGATTACTTAGAGTTAAATTTAGGGAGGAGATGGAAGCCAGGTATTACAGGACCCGGTAGGCAATAGTAAGAACTTTGATTTTCTTCATGTGTGGTTATGACATGATCAAATTTACATTTTAACTAGATCCTTCTTGTCGCGAGCCGCGACGTCAGGATCCTCCCAGCAGGTCCTAAACCTGAAAGGACGAGGACAAAGAGACGGCAGACAACTTTCTTCTCATGTTCCTTGCTTGCTTTATTACAGAACCTCTTCCTTTTATACTCTCCAGCTGCATGGGAGCGAGGGCTGCACGGGAGCGAGAGTACCTCCCACACATTCCAGAGGGAAACAATAACAACCATTATGGGTTACATCTGCTAGGCAATAGATCAGACCACCAGCTGAACTAGCCCATTGCTATAGCGACGGCACATCCACACTGCTCGGGTGAATCACAGGTCAATATGGCTGCGCTCATGTCGTGTTCCTTTACAATGCTCTCCATACCTTCTGACTGCTTTTGAGAATAAAGGAGAAGAAGCAGACAGACAGGGCCTCTCTCATGTGACTAGCAAGGTGTGCTGTCAGTAGGAAACCTCAGGTCCTCCCCACAAGGCTTCTCTACAGGGTGCTTAAGATGGCTGCAGCTCTCCATAACACCCAACACCAGGAGAGATGACGAGTTGCATCCACCTGGCTAAGCCACTTCTCAATTTTTGAACCTCTATGGAAAGCTTCTATAGCTATCTGAGATAGCAAATCACTCTTCCTGTTTTAAGCTGCTAAACTTGATGTAAAGTGTTGTAGAACACCCGCTAATCAACATCCAAGCGTAGGTCAGGCACTTGGAATTTAGAGTTTCAGAAGGAAGACGCAGAAGTTTGGTAGGCTTAAGAATACAGATGAAATGCCCAATAAATACATGAAAATGATGTTCAATATCTCTAGCTATTACAGAAATGCAAATAAAAACAATACTGAGATTCCATCATACCCTAGAAAGAATGGCTATCATCAAGAAATCAACCAATAACAAATACTGGAGAGGCTGCAGGGGAAAAGGAACTTTTCTACATCATTGATGGGCATGCAAACTAGTACAACTACTATGGAAATCCACATGGAGGTTACTCAAAAAACTAAAAATAGAAATTCCATTTGACGTAGCTATTCATTCCCCTTCTAGGTATCTTCTTGAAAGAGTTAAAGACATTACATTACAGTGATACATGCATATTCATGTTTATAGTAGCATAATTCATGGTAGCTAAATCTTGGAAGCAACCCATATGTTCATAAATGAATGGCTAAGGAAAATGTGACAAATACACAATAGAGTACTACTCTTCAAGAAAAACAAACTTGAGTCATTTGTAGAAAAATGAATGTACCTTGAAAGTAACAATGGTAAGTGAAATAAATCAGATACATAAATTTAAATACCACATTGTCGCGAGCCGCGATGTCAGGATCCTGCCAGCAGGTCCTAAACCTGAAAGGACGAGGACAAAGAGACGGCAGACAACTTTCTTCTCAAGTTCCTTGCTTGCTTTATTACAGAACCTTTTCCTTTTATACTCTCCAGCTGCATGGGAGCGAGGGCTGCACGGGAGCAAGAGTACCGCCCACACATTCCAGAGGGAAACAATAACAACCATTATGGGTTACATCTGCTAGGCAATAGATCAGACCACCAGCTGAACTAGCCCATTGCTATAGCGACGGCACATCCACACTGCTCGGGTGAATCACAGGTCAATATGGCTGCGCTCATGTCGTGTTCCTTTACAATGCTCTCCATACCACATGATTTCTCCTATATGAGAAACCCAAAATATAAATAAAAAGCAAAATAAAAAATAATAGGAAATAAGCTAGATCTTTCACAAATGCAGAAATGGAGGGCAAGGGGAAAGGACTTTAGGGGAAGAGGATAAAAAAAGAATTGAGATGTGTTATGTACATGTAACTAACTTCTCCCAAAGAATGTTATCGTTATTTACTGCAAACATATGCTAATAAAAAAATAAAAACTGCAAAAAATACAGAGATGAAATTAAACCTCTGAAACTCAATGAGGTAACAAAATATAGGAATGACGATAGAAAAAAGAAAAAGTTGAGTCCAAGGACTAAGCGCTGGGCCACTACAGTGTTTAAAAACTAGAATGTAAGGAACAAAAATCAAAGGGGTGAAGAAGGAACAGCCCACGAGTTGTAAACGTAGGCATTTTGTTAGTATCTCATTCAATTTAGCATACAATTAATTTCTACCAGGTATTAAATCGCATACTTATTTTTCATCTCTAGAACTCTCACGTGCTTAGTACATGTTGAATGAGTAGGTAAATAAATGAGAACAAACATTGAATGGAGGGCCAGGGATTTGGCTCAATGGTTCTGCTGCCTGCCTTGACAAGCACAAGGGCCTAAGTTCCGGTCCCCGTACCAACAAAACATTGAATGGAATTTAGGCCACTTGGGAGAATGACTAAGCATATGAATAGCTACTCCTTTATGTATTAAAGTGATACATTGATTTTTTAGATACTTCAAGTAAAAATCCATCACCTTGTCTCTTTTTCTTGCTTTAGTGGAGACAAAAGTTTTGAAGGTTAGGTATGGATACTATATGTTCTGGAAAATTTGAAACTTGCAATTAAGTTAGTGGTACCTAATGAGCCTCATTTAAATATAAAACCAGAATTTAAAAGATAAACAGCAAGGTGTATGATTGTGTGTATTTCTGTATGTGCATGCGTGGGTGGTAGTGAACCCAGAGCCTTCACCTGGAACCCTTTTTATGTTATTTTGAGGCAAGGTCTTGCTAAATTGCCTAGGCTAGGTTCCAATTGCAATCCTCTGCCTTGGCCTCCCAGGTTACAGACATGTACTACCATGCCTGGCAAAAACAGCAATCTTGGGAATGGGGAGGAAGGAGAAGAAAAGGGGATGAAAAAAAGAATTGAGATGTGTTATGTGCATGTATCAACTCCCCATGATGAATGTAATCATTGTGTACTGCAAACAGGTACTAATAAAAACCTTTATAAAACTGAAAACAGAACCAGCAGTCTGCGGTAATCAATCCATCAGTCAATCAAACACTTTTCCCACCTCTCCACTTTACTCTGGCCTGGCAGGTCAGTCTCTGTGCTGCGATTTGGCACTCTTTCGCCCGTCATCATGTCCCCAGTTTGTATTTTTCAAGTCTCAGATCAAGTAACACCATCTTCCAGAGAAAGGCCTTCCCTTGGTGTCCAATGTGAGTATCCATTATATCCTCAAGTCCTTCACCACAACACCTGGGTTTACTTTCCTCATGGCACCTGTTGTAATCTGATGTCTCTTTTGTCTTTAATAACTTATTTGTTCCTTCTCTAGAATAGAAGCTCCTTTCTGCCACTACTCCGGTTGAGGTTGTAGTTAGTAGAAATTCTGCCTTTACGAAACAAGCCAATTTGGGCCGGGGGGTTTAGCTCAGTGGTTCCACCGCCTGCCTCACAAGTGCAAGGTCCCGAGTATGATTCCCGGTGACAAAAACAACAACAAAATTTCTGGCAAAGAAGCAAGCCAATTAGCCATCGTATCCCACGTAGCTTTCTCATATATAAAACGGAGATAAGAACACTAAATACGTCAGAAAAATATTGTGAGGATTGGATGAAATTAAGGCTGTAAAAAGATTCCGGGTGTGCACGCATTGAAAAAGTTCTACAGAGAGTAGAGTTAATAGCAAGTATTTTATTATATTCATGCTAGGTTTTTCTCGGTTCCTATGTGCTTAGGAAGTCCTCAAATATTTTAATTCTTTTAGCCTTGAGTAATTTATTTTAGTGCAGCAAACACCTTAATTTTTTTTTTAATTTTATTGCGTTTATTGGTACATTTTAGGGATACAGTACAGTTACATTCATTGTTGGGATCATGTACCTCTACATGGCAAGTCTTGATTCTCATTTTTTCCCCTTACCTCTGCCCTCCCTTCACCCCCTCCTCCCCTCCCCATCTACAAACACTTTATTTTCATCTTTTCATCCTCTCACATTTTTTTCTTTAACAAACACCTTAATTTTAATGCTGAAAGTCAGTTCGGGGTTTCGGTAAACGAGTGACCCCGTGCACCTTCAAACGCCATCCAGCAAGCCCCAAGAGGTGCAGCCGGGGAGCCGGGCGGGGCGCTGGGCGGAATGGGCGGGGGAACCCAGGCCACGCCCTATACAGCCCCAGGCCCGCCCCTTCCCGAGAGCCCGGGTTCCTGTAAACCTCTGGGTTCCAGCCCACTTGCGGACGCTGCTTTCCCGGCCTCCGCCTCCGGACTCCCTCCTGAAGACTGGTGTGTGAGTGCTCCGGACCGGTTTGGCTTCTCCGGGAAGAGGGTGGGCCTGCCCGGGAGATCTGGGCCCCAGGCTCCGCTTGCCGGCTCCCCCTGGGCCGGGGTTGGCAGGGCGCGCTGGGGGCTCCAGGACCGCTGACTA